CTTGTGGTACACCTACAGTACCTAATATTTTTGAGCTTGATAGTGTAGATCCAATTTTGGCCTTTCGACAATTAAGTAGTTTTGTTGAATTTTGAATACAGATCCTTAAATCCGTAGTGATGCAATTTTGTAAGTAATTTATCCCTGTCAATAGTCCTCAATCGCCTTTTGAAGTCCAAAAACACTGTTACTGTATATTTTCTATTATCCATACATCTCATCCAGTCCTTTAAAACCATTTGTATTGCCGTTTCACTTGAGTGTTTCTTCATGAATCCAGCTTAAAATTTGGTTAAAATTTTATTTTCTCAATAATTTCGATTATCTGTTCGTAAATAATTTCTTCAAAGACTTTTTCAACATCTGGCAGAACACTTATTGACCGAATATCGGTGTACAACTCAGAATTCTTAACTTTCGAAACAAGAGTTATGGTAGATCACTTCAGTTTTGTTGAAATTCGCTATACTTTAACAGTAATTTATCAGGATTAATATTCTTGCTCCAATAATATCAAAACATTAATTAGGCACACTTTTAGAAAAAATCTCACTCTATTTTGATTTGATTTAATTTTATATATAATCTTCTTGAGACGATTGATGTTTATTTTCTAAACTCACTGAATGATGCATTATAATCTGATCTAATGGGACATAGGTTGGGATCCCCGTCAATAATCGATCCCACAGTGTCATTGACACTCTCTATGAAATATTCGCTCTGCTTTTATTTCTTCATTTATTATTACCCCCATCTTCGGACTTCATTTTAGATAATGAATTTGTTCTAATAGGAGAAACAATGTTTTTTAACGTTTTCCACATCTGTTTGCTATTATTTTTACTCTGATCAATTTTGGCATTGTAATATTTTTTCTTATCATGTCGTAGAACTGCTACAGATTGGTTTCTTGATCTTGTGTATTCTAGTCATTTTCATGCCCAGTAATGATAAACTTTTTATAATATTGCAGTCTCTTTTGAATTTAGAATCCTTGGACGTCTGCGAGAACCAAGGTGTTGGATTTTTCCTTTTATGCATTGTTTTCTTGACTGTAGCTTCTTTCATGCAAGCTTCAACATTATTAGGTATGACAATATGAGTCTCTAGATACCTTCTTGATACTTTGGAGAGAATACATTCACCCTTCGAGAAAATTTAAACATTGTTTCTGTTACTTAGCGCCTAGCATACTAAATTAATATCCAAGAATTTTCGAACTAACATCCATTCACAGCATTAAAACAAAATCCAAAAAAATGCTGTTACAATTTACTGAATCTAAAAGTATTTGAATACATCTCATTCTTACTATTATTATTTACTCATACATGTGATGTATATGAATTTTGATATTAGGATATGGTAGGTACTGCACTTAATTTTATTTACATTAGCTACAAGGGCAGGGCTGAAAAATGGCTATCAATCCCCAGCCTTTTGACGTATTATTTTTTGTATTCTATTATTTACTTATATTTTTATTCGATTATGTATTAATACTCCAATAACTATTATTATCACTATCATATCGAAGATCATCAAAAGAAAACTCACATGCCAAGCAAGATGTCACACTGACAATTACCTATAAACGTGGA